CGAAAAACGTCAGTATTTATCGTTACCATGGTTAAACATAGAAAAAGAAAGAAAAAGGCAAATGTATCTTCGCTTTATTTTTCATCTAATTTTTGATACTTTGTCTTATATATTATACAACTACATACTTCATTGTAGAAGAATGCGTTTGTATATATATATATGTACTGTACTGTAGTGATCATTCCTTTACTGTTAGTTTTTTTCTTGTTTTCTTTTCATGGTTCTACGCTGTCAGTGATTTTTTAGGCTGTTGATATTCATTCCTACTTTGGCTTGTAGTTAGTTACATTTTACGTATATTAGCGTCAAACAAAAAAATAAAAGAAAAGGATGTATATATATATAATGAAAATTCGGGGAGAGGGGAACAGTAGAAAGACTGCGCTACACTAGATACCCTTGGAACCTTAAAAATGGACTCGTTTAGACTGGATGTGTATATGTAAAATATATAAATATATGGGCAAAGAGTATTACGACTGACTATTTATTTTGTACCATTTTTTTTGTTTTGTAAAATGGAGCGAAATTCAATTTCATCTTGGAATTTATTATTCATAATTAATAAATTCTACTTTTTTTCCCTCTTACTTCGCTTAAGTTATTTATATATATAAAATGTAAGCCCAGAGAGAGAGAAAGAGATTGGGGGGTGTGTTTGTGAATATTTTGCATTTGTTTCATCTTTTACGAAAATATACATTTTGTTAAGATTTACGTTTCAACAGATTATTGTACATGTATATGTGCTAGAGTGCCTAATTTCTTGCTTGTCAGCCAGTGGATATATGAGCCTTCCTACTACTACTACTACTATTGCAGAGAAAAGAACCCTTTAAATCTCCGAAAACTGAATAACGTTTACTACAAAACTAAGGTATCACTAATGAGATGACATGAAAGATAATTTATTATTTACTGCTTAGGTTACTAGTGGAACATAAGGCTTCAACAGTACATCTGCATTTCATCCTGTCCTCTGCAGTCATCTTTAACTGGCTCAACGTTTACTCCTAAGCTTTCATCTACTCTTCATACGATTTCGTCTGGATCACCCTTGCCTAACGCGTCGTTTGCCACTCCCTTTTTTCGGCATATTTGTTGACCAGGTTTTCCAATGGCTCTCTAACTAATGTTAGCTTATGATGAAAATCCTGTAACCAATCAAATCCCTACAAACCAACACTTGAATATCAATGAGATATTCACTAGCGACTTGCTCTATTCAAGTAGGTAGTTACCTGAGGTTCTAGCGAGAAGTCGTGACCAGTAGGGTGCAGCAGGTCGGGTGTGAGGACAAATACTCACCGAAGACATTGGCTAGCGGTTGCGCTATGTCGTGAATTGGCAGAAGTTAGAATTCCTGGGCCGTTGGATCGGGTCCCAATGGCTGAATGGTATACGAGCTCGCCTTGTAACCAGAAGGTCCTGGGTTCGAATCCCGGTGAGTGCGTACTGCTGAAGAGTCCCAAACAAAAGTGACGAAACAGCTGTCCAATACTCTCAGGTTTTCCAATAGTTCTGTAACTAATGTCAGCTCATGATGAAAATCCTGTAAAAGGTGATTTGTTGGTGTGTTGTCAGAGTTCCTTATTCCTTTTTGGCTGGTTATGTGATCTTAAGTCTGGAGAAAGGACAGGTGTTGATAAAGATGGTTTGCTTTTTCGCAATGCTTTCTGTGACAAATACACCACCACCACCACTAAAGATAAAATTCTGAATCTCGTCGTTTATGCTTAGCACAGTGGATTTCCACACTGATTTCAGATTAATGGAAGTATGTCTCGCCTTCCCGATCCTGAGTGCCACTGACATCTTTCTTCGTGTTGTCGCTTGTAGTTGAAGTGATGTTATGTGGGTGATCACGGAATATACACATTTAATCATAGGGAATAAAAAGACAGTTGCAGAGAAGAAAATTTTCTTTTCGACGAAATCATCATCTAGGCTGTACATTCGTGTATTTATATCAAATGGATAGGAAAGTTCCAGAAAAATATCCGGACATTCAGGACATTCAGCGCCTTTCGAAAAATCCTTCAAAGTAATATATAAGATTCAATCAAACCTATCAAAGGGAGTGAAATCAAGACATTTGAGCATAGCTGAGGCGTTAGCTATCCAAAAACTCAAACCCACTCTTGGTATCCAGAAGAAATACGTCCAACCCCTGTCCCTGCCATGGCCATCATAAACAGGTAAAATTTTTTTAATAATGACCATCCCATCGCCTTTCTTATCTAAACTTCCTGTATTATTCATGTTATTTTAAGTTTTCTTAATCCCTGTCTACACTACCATATTTTCATACCCACTCTTCCTGTTTATTTTGTCATTTTACTATTTCTACATATTTAATCCCTGATTGCATAAACAATTATTCATCATATTAGTTCTTTATCTAAACATCCTGTATATTTTGTTATTTCTACATTTCTAACCCCCAATTGCACAATGTCAATCTTCTTAGTTATTATGCTACCTTGTTTGAGTTTTATCCATCTCCCTGTTTATTATGGCATTCTAATTCCTAATTGTAATTTTTATTAATTTCACCCTTAACCGGAAGTTATTCTGGAACTTTCCCATCCATTTGATATAAATACACGAATGTACAGCCTAGATGATGACTTCGTCGAAAAGAAAATTTTCTTCGCTGCGACTGTCTTTTTATTCCCTATGTGGATAAGTGAAAGAGGCGACTTCGTTTAGATTTCTCCTGTTCAGGCCAGCTGATACTTGCTATCTTCTTCACCCCTGTCTTCTTTATATTCATGTGAAGTCCTGTCTTCGGTATTTTTTCTGTCAACTTGCTAGCTTTGGTCCGTAGATCTTTGAGTTTATGTAATATTGGGTGAAAATCGTCTTCTAAGTCTAAATCCTATAGAGTCTTCTTGTCGGCCAACTTTTAACCCTCTACCGCACTACTCAGTCCACCACAATCAGAAATATGATGGGTAATAGTCGTCTTCGAAGTCTTCACAACTGTATCTGCAATCCCTAAAATGCTTGACTGTGTATTATTGAGTAGTAGCGTGTGTGTTTGTTGAGCGACTTAATTCATACATACTTTTATGCACAAGTAGTTTCTTTTTACAATTCGAGTAATGAATTTACTTTGAACGGGACCTTTTTCCTCTCTCTGGTAATCCAGATTTCATTTCCTCAGTTACATTCAATGTGTGACATTTCCAAGAATGATGATTATGCATAAAAGTGATGAAGCTAACCTCCTTCGATGAGAATTCATTGAGGAGAATCTCTGTTCTGATCTAAAGTGTAGCTAGATTACAATAAAACTCATGATTATATGTTCTAGATGGACTATACATGAACTTTCTTAGCTCTAATACGAAATGATATGTATAAATGAAATTACAAAAGTCAAATTATACAGTTTCACAATTATGCTGATACGAGTTTTAGTATTGAATCGTATCTAAAATACTGTGAAATTTATATATGAAACTATTTTAAGATGTTGACTAACTCTTCTTTGCAACACAAAGTAGCTTGAAATAATTTAGTCGAATTTTGTTTGAATTCATAGATTTTAACCTCGATGGTTTACTAGTAGACCTTAAGTCTGAAAAGGGAGAGAAAGTAGAGTGAGGCGCTAGTGAGCTCACCCTGGGAAAAAGCAAACCGAGCATTGCTACTTCAAAGCATATAAAAATCAGTTGATATTTCACTGGAATCAGTGAAGACGAATGATACCGGACGGGGAAAGTCTTTGGGAAGCTTGTAGATCAATACTTCCTCTTTTTGATGAAGGGCAGAGATATGAAAGATCAACACCATTGTTTAGGCTGACTGAAAAGGTTGGTCATAATGCAAATGTAATAAAAGTGAACTCTATCTACTCCGGATACCTAGGCAGCAAAGACTGGTACGCTGAGCATGTGGTTATTCGTATGTCATCAACAGCGTCGGACGCTCTCATACAGTGGGAGCCAGTATTTTCCTAGTAGCATGACAACAAGATTCAATTCAACAGGTAAGAGAGTTAAACTTTTACAGAATTAAGGAGTTACAAACAACACAGATTAACCGAAGAAGTAGGCCGTATGTTCCACGCGGAGTCCAAAGTTCTAATACTAATAATTTAAAAATTTTTAATCGTCTGCAGTAGTTATTTCGCCTTTTCAAGTTCCGTCTCAAAATCTTCTTTATCATGGCTTTCAGTATTTTGAAAATGGCTTGATGAAGCAAACAACTGAAATTTCAATATATTATAGTTCATCCCTTGTATTTAGAGTGAATCGAAAAAACATGACAGACGTTTATGAATCTGAAATCTACTTTATTCAGCATCGTTAAGAGACTTGGTCCCTGACGAAGAGTATTTTGAACAAGCTTCTGACTTTTATCAGCAGCTGCTTTCGCTTCACACTGAAGATCAGATAACCAAAAAGGATTGCAGTAAAGAACTGTCACAACAAACCAATCAAGAACCTATTGCTCGACAAATATGCCAAAGTAAAGGGATAAGGCACACACTAATGAGAGGACTGAGTGAAATCACACGCCAGGCAGAGCCTCCAGTGGAACCTGAGTATTAAACGACTAGTTGAACATCTGAGAGTGGCTTGGGGAAGATGTTGTGATGAGGAGATGAGGATTTCCGGGCGCTCATGGAAGCAGCTAAAGAGGACTTCGAAGAAATAAGTGGAATAAAGATGTGCTGCTGAAGGCTTAACTTCCAGTCGGAGCCCAGGGGAATAGTAACATAATAATAATACGGCTTCAGCGTTGTCCTTCCTTTGAAATTAATTTTCTGTCACCACCTTCAAATGACTAAGAACAAAATTTCATTTCATCATCACAAGATATCCTCTGTGTCACTGTCGAATGACGAACTCGTTGTTTGCCATAGTATTACTAGGAGCTTATCATGTATGTGCATTGGTTATGGATACAGAAACATCAAAATTAATACACTGCATCTTAAGCATTGTAAAGTGAATAGTGTGGTACATAAAAATTGCTTAACTAACCTTCTTTTACCATGCCAACCTTTAGGCATTTTTGAAAACGACAATACTGACAGCGATTTCGACGACGTTTATCCACAACACAATTTTTAGCTTGAAGACAAACGTATTGAGCATTTTTCTGTATCGTTCGCTAAAACATTCATTAGGAAAAATAACAAAAGTCTGAATTACATAAAAGTCAGGATGTATAATTTAACAGAAGTTCATAATGTATAGATCAAAGGAATTGTGGTAATGTATGTACTTCCTGCAGTTGACTAACCGGTCCCAGACTTGTAAAAGAGGGAAGGTGGTACATTAAGATAACAGCCACATCCTGTAAAAACCAAAAACCTATCGCCAGTAAAACTTCAAAGAACAGAAAGATCAACTGATTATCTTCAGAATGTCTCCGGAGAGTGAAATTCTTCAGGAAGACAGGCAGCCGATGTGTCTTACTTTGATGGCAGAAAATACTTCATAGCGATGTGAGATGTTTACAACATATTTTAAGCTGCCAAGGCTTCTCAGACTGCAGTAGAAATAATGTTTACCTTCTGGAATTCTTGGTTAACTTCGCACCTTCAGTTGTTCAGTAGTAAAGTTAGCACAGACACTGTTAAATATGAATAATATCCAAATTTTTCTTATTTTATCTGAATCTCTAGAAAAAGTTAAATGTGATATTGCGCATATGAATAACTACTCATGATTAAAATAAGTAGTATTCAATAACTTAGAAAATTAAAATCAACTCCTTAATCGTTAAATATCATTCCACTTTCTCTAAGTACTTCATATACACCTCGAATTGGTAAATCTTTGAAAAGTTCTACATATAGTGCCAGATTTTAGTTGGACCTAATGAGAAAGATGAAATTTAAAGGAGATATGTTTACGCAGCCGTGTACAATTAAACTAAAATTGCGATTATACTGACTCATAGAAGGGAAAGTTTATACAAATTGAGATAGTTCAGCTACTGAGAATGAAATTACTGAAATTATAATTCTATATTTAATGTCTGGATAGGGAATTTTCAAAATTTGGTATTTAAAAAGGATTGTGATGTAGTAGCTTTTTAGTGAGTTTAAAGGCTAGTGTGAACGAAACGGCATGTCAGAGTTATGTCAGAAAGTTGAGTGATAAAAATATTGTATAATGCAGATTTTGAGCTCTTTTTATGTCAGATGTCTCTATTTTAAGACTCCGGTATCTCACCTACTCAAATAGAAAGCTAACGGATGCTCCATTACACTTATGATATGGAACTATACTGTAACAACAGAAGACAAGGGCCAGGCAACAGAACGTTTATTACGGAAAATCAACACGTATTTATAGATTTTGATGCACATTATTGTAGGTTAATGTTAGTAGAAAATACATTCTGTTGTTTCTCACACAAAGTTAACCTTGCACCTCTTGTGGCTGTGTCAGTTCTGTACCCGCCTGTCCATCTTGACCTTGACCTCAATTACTGTCAACCAATTGGCTAGTAGACAGCTCTCACCACAATACGATTCCAAACTTTGGGTTTAAAAATTCTTGCAAACTTGACTGATAAGATTTAGTCTGCATCAAACAAAGGACTAGACATGTTACACTAGTTCCTTATCACCTGGTTTTCAATCACAGTATCTAATACAATCTTACAGGTACTTAATCACAACTCCAAGCAGTTCAGTGGTGATTTTTTTGACTGTAAAACTAGGTGACACTGGTTCGAGTCTAAGAAGAGACACGAGTTCCTTAAAGACCACAGAAACTCCTTACTGACTGGTGATTATCAACAAGCACGAGACCTACATTTGCGGAGGCTTCCTATCGATTGCCTTCAACCATCTAATATTAACAGTTAAGAGATTTTCTTCTCAAATTAGAGCAGGCCGTTTTGAATGACATGCATACCAAAGTAGGTAGAATACATGAACTCATTGCTTTAGTAATAGCAGTATTAATAACTTTATTCTGGAAGATGTAAACACACACACTAAAGAATTCTCAGTACGTTCAATAGCAAAATACTTATTGTTTATACTGGATCCTAAGGTAATACAGTGATTGGCAATATTATCATGAGACACAATGTTATTCAGTTTGAAGCAAGATCTCATTCCTTTGAGTGTTTTTACTTCATTTCATTTGAAAAATCTGTGGCAGATTTCAAGCGAGTAAATCCCACACCAACTTGCTTGTTGAATATACCACACAGTGAAAAAGTATGACACTTCACATCATTTAAAAATGCGAGTAAAAATAGGATTAGTGAAATACCCAAATGATAGGGTGAAAATCTACATAAGACAGACAAGCTTTGACATTAAAAAGTTATCCTGATAGAAGTGTATAGGAAATTATAAGAACTATGAGGAGGAAATTTAAGACATCAGTGGTGTTGTTAAATAAACAGAGAAACTCTGAAACCTTATCTATGATTCTTACCAAAACAGGATTTAAAGTGCCTTCCAAACCCACAAACCTATTTAGAAACAAACTGTGTTGGATAAATCTCTTGAACAGTTCATTAAATGAAAAAGTTTATTTTGATTTGACACTAGTAACTGGTGTGATGCGTCTAGTCCTCTCTTTGGTGCAGACTGAATTCTATCAGTGAATTCTATCAGTTGCACCAAAGAGAGGACTAGACGCATTACACTAGTTACTAGTGTCCAGTCAAAATATCCACTACAGTCCTACAGGAGGTCAATCGCGAGCCTGAATAGCTGAGTGGTAACATCTCTGACTGGAGCACTGGGTGACGCTGGTTCGAATCTCAGAAGGGACATCAGTTCCTTCAAGGTTGCGGATACGCCTTGTTGACGAGCGCCAACTAGCACGAAACCTAGGTCCAAGGTTTCCTGCCGATTGCCTTCAACCATCTAATATCAAATGAAAAAGTTTGTTTTACCAAATACAATGAAATGATTATAACATTAACTACATAGATAAGAGTGGTCGACTAGAGTTAATTAGTCGAATTCCCACTTTCCAACTTAGTCCGCGATTTTCACACTTCGAGGTGATTATATCAGCATAGTTCCCTTTTAGTGGTAATCAAGAAAGCAGGCATAGATGTACCACGCTATATACTATTGACTGAGTAGTTGGATACCACTCACCGCTGATGAATCTCCCTCCTTCCAAACGAACAGTGTTTATATCCCTTCTATTTGGCTAGCGAACACTTCTGTTTTATGTCAGTGATATCCAACTACTTATCTCAATCAAATAGTTGAATGTGGCGCGGATGAACAGAAATGATTCAACATCTGTTTCGGACATCTAGAATGTTCTTACTACTCTTAAATAAAGTGGAGAGAAAAGGACAAGAACCACAAAAACTAGGTTTTGATTAGGTTATGAACAATACATACATTGCAATCGAAACGTCTTCGAGTAAATTATAGTGTTTCACTGTATGAATTCTCAGCATAAACAACAAGATTTGAATTTGCAACACCAATGTCAAGTCACTTATTCTATATGAGTCTGAAACTTGGCGTATCATGAAAACTATTTCCAATAGCCAGCTGCAGACTCTTATCAACAGCTGCCTTCGCTGAGTCCACATTGAGGATCAAATGGCCAGAAAGAATTAGCAGCAGGAAAATATAGCAGCAAGCTAACCAAGATTCTATCGTCAAACAAATATGTAAGAGAAAATGGAAATAGATTGGGCATACGTTCAGGAGACCCACAGACGACAACGCACTCCAAGCCACTGTTCGGGTGGAACCCCGATGGAAAGCAACTAGTTAGTCATCCGAGGGTGATGTGGAAGAGATAGTGTTAGGAGCAGATTAGAGATGATGCGGAATTGAGAGAACAACTAAGGAGGACCGCTGAAGAAAGGACAAAGTGGAGATGTGTTGTTGAAGCCGTATGTTCCACTCAGGACCGAAGGGGACGGTAATAATAACGCTATGTGAATTATCTACTAAACAAAAATAATATCGAATTGTATTACGTGAGTACAAGTTGTGATCAACATACAAAATAAGGTAATTAAAATACTAAGGAATAAAGAAAGGTCGGTGTATTTTGGTGGGTGGAAGTTTGGGTGAACCAGGGATTTAACCTGCTCGTTGAGAATTAAAAACGATACTGATAAAATGGATCAAAATGTTCAGATTTTACCATGTTTCATCACAATAACTAAAGTTTGAAATTTCTTTGTTTTAATTTAATAATTTAACTACCTAAAAGTTTTATAAATGCCATTTTTCCTGAACCAACTGTTTTTTTAGCATAACTCTAACTTTGTGGTCACAACTGAAATGTAGTTACAATTCTGAATTAAAACCTTATAGGCAAGTAGTATTCTCATGGAATTTGCATTGGTATTTCAGTGGTGGAATCCTGGCCAGTTATATGGTAAGTTCAGTTTCAATCCCTGGCAAAAGAATTTCTAAATCCCCACCTGCTTACTGGCTAGTAGTAATTCTTTGAAAGATCGAAGGTTTGGTGTGAGGCTAGCAATTCCATCCCATAAAGGAAACAATAACACCAATACTAAAACCTCAAAAATTGAAGCCTGAAGCTCACTGTTCCACTCGAAACACCAGGGTATGTTCTCACGTAAACTGTGTAGTTTATTACTACAATATATAACGACTCTCTGACTTGATGAAACTTCAAAATGCAACTAACGATCAAACGTTTGTCAACTTAAAATGAAAAACACAGAAACAAGAATCGAAAATATTTAAACCGAGATCCTAATAATACTTAAATTGTATTCAGCTGTAAACTGTACAGTGTGGGAAAAATTTTCAGGCTAGTTTACGGGGATTTGACTGATTTCAAGCATTTTTTCCTTCACGTTCCCCAGTGGAACATAGGGCTTCAAGCTAGTGACTCGAAGTTTCTGTAGCAGTGTTTATTTTACAGTATGGGGTTGCTAGCCGCATGACCAACCTTTCCTCTTCACCAGCATTATATCTGGTTTGGCGAGGTAAGGGAGTGCGTCGGCCGGAGATCGAACCCCGGACCATGTGCATGGTCGGTGATCGTCTTAACCGACGCAGAGTGAGAACCACTGACCATCGAGATCACAGTGGCTGAATGAACAACCAACACGTCGCCCAACCTGAAGATTCTTGGTGCAATCCCTCGTAAGTTCATTACTGAATACTTCTGAAGGGTCCC